CTACTTGATAAACGTTTACAAAAAAATGTTCTTTTTCTTTATTTAAACAAAAAAAAAGCTTTTTTAACTGTTTCGTTACATGCCATGTGCGTATAGCCGGTCTCTCAAGGCGGTCACCCATCCTAGCACAGTACCGCGTCCGAGTCGCTTGACTTCGATGATCCAGTGGACAGTGACGATCTTCTCACCCTGATGCTTCCTTATTAACTGTACTTGTCTATAACAGGTACATCTTTAAAGTGTTCAAAAATCTTGTAATGATATCTTTTTGATAGTTATAACACTGCATGAAATAGTTGTCATAAAACTATAATTACACACGCAACTAGATCCACTTATACCATAAATTCACCACGTCGTTCATAAAGTTACGAAACACTTTATAAATGTAGGAATATTCCTGTGAAAAATACTGTGAAAAATGTCATTTTTACGTTAAACTTTAGGAATAAATGACGTAACATGCGTCATAAAATCACGTCATTATGACGACTGTCTGCTACCTGGGTAGTCAATTAAACGTCTATATAATGTCATTTTACAAAGTCTTTTTGACGTATTAAAACATGACGTTAAATATACGTCACTTAATCGACGAATGACGTTACTGACCAATTATGACCAAATATTGACATCAAAATGACGAGTGCTTGCTACCTGGGTATGTATGTAATATAATATAATATAATATATGTATGCATGTATGTATGTATGTGTGTATGTATGTATGTATGTATAATACTAATGAAAGGAATACTAATCACACATTTTTGTATTTTATATTTCAAATATTTATTTATTATATAATTTTTACAAAAGTTTGCCATTTATTATTTCCCTAAACATTTTGTCTCTAAAGTACGGCATGTCATCCTGCGTAAACGTTATCTCCCTGTTTGCACAGATGTACTCGGCGAACATGCAAGAGAATACACGTACCACAATCGCTACCGTTTGTCTGTTGCGGAATGTTCTTGGCGGAATAAAATTCCCAATCACTCATATCATAAAGTTGTTTCTTTTTGTCAAGACTCTCATTTTGTAAATATAGTTTTAGCGCAGTCAGACATTTCGAATTATTACTGCCCATACTGTAATAGACAATTGTCTTATCGCGAAAATCTATTATTGCCATACACCAGTAAACGTCCAAATGTACAGGCACAACCACAAGATCCTGCGCAAATATGTTTACCTTCCTAGTCCATTGCTTTAGCGACGAGTGACCGCCCGACAGAAGTTTTGGGTAAAAAAACGTGTTCATCGCGTGCACTTTCAGATACGCGTCGGAAGATGTTCCTCTGGCGATCAGCAGGTTCATATAAAAGTTTATCACTTCGTCGTTCAGCCAATTTGAGTCGGCCAGCGTGTAGAGATTCTTTTGCGTGAGCTTTATTACGCAGCTATTACATGAATGGTGGACGATATATGAGATGTATGTCATGCATTACATCGATTGATGACAGCGATGATCAACACTTGTTTACAGTGCGAAAACATAAAACCGGCCCGCACGACCAGTTAATAAACTTAGACGGCTGTTTCTGTGGGAATTGCAGAAAGCCATTGTATACAATATTCCCATGCAATATATGTCCTATTTGCATGAAATAGGATATATGTTGCACGGAAATGTGAAGCCTGAAATATCAACGTAAGTTTTAGTTTTTAAAATTATTATTATTATTTTTAATAAACTATTAATCTATTGTATTTTATTTTTACAGTTTCAGAAGGCTGGCTGATCGTTGTGGAGGTTTTAGTTGGTAGAAGTCCGACATAACCGCCCACCCCGCCCCACAAATCTAATATCACTACCATAGTCGTAGAAGAAATTCGCCTAGTAAACAGCATCTGCAATGCAGTGATTTCAGCGTGAGATAAAACATAGATATCTGTAACTAATTTTTATAACAATATTAATTTACCGACAAACGCATTTGGCTATCAAAAAACGTTTGCTTGAAACAAAATTGTAAAAGCGTAAATTATAATAAATTGTATTAATTTTATCAATTTTCCATATGCAACATAAATTATTTTCCCTTTTCAAATTATAATCTTATTTATAATAGGCAAATAAAATAATAAATAAAGTCATACTTTGTGAAAAGAAATAATTCTAAATCAATGGAAGCAAGAGTTACGCGTGTCAAAGTAGCAATCCGGCCTCTTACGCGTCCGTTCCTGTCTTCCACTCCCATTTCCCCACTACGGGGACTCTATAGTTTAAGTCACGTAAAATATGGTTTTTTGTTGATTTTTTTTTGTTGAACGTAAACCTAGGAAAAAAAAGGTCTTCGACGCCATCTCTTCCTGCGTTCAACTCCATGGTTTAAGTCATGTAAATTTCTTTTAAATTAAATGATTATATTAATTAAATTAGGTTATAAATAATTAAATTAAGTTATAAAAAAGGCTATGCCGGTTCTGGATCAAAGCGTGGTGCTCGCGCGGGGTGCGGGGCGAGGGGATCTCGGCAGCGCGGGGATCTCGGTGTGGAGAGGGGATGACGTCATCGGCGTTGCCGCCGAGATCCCCTCGCCCCGCACCCCGCGCGAGCACCACGCCTTGATCCAGAACCGGCATAGCCTTACTACTCTGAAAATCTTTCAATTTCCCTATACCCTCAAAGAGTTTATTATCTAACTTAACGTCGCATATAATATTCTCAATCTGATTAATCTGCAAGTGTACTCCGACATCTAAAAACTTATAACTCTTTTGCCGTTTGAACACCTAAGAGCGGTTGTCCTTTACCTCGGAATACTTTAAAAATTGCCCTTGCGATTTTATTGTTGATTTTTATCTTACAATCAAATTCACCGAAAATCTCTAATCCGTCTTTTTTTCCGTATGGAAATGCGGTCTTATTAACCTTACGCAATATACACTTTATTCCTTTTGACTTTAATGATTTCCATGTATTTTCGTCCATAATATTACATCGAGATCCCGAATCAACTAAAAGATCGATTTCTATTCCCCCTATACAGTCGCTGATATTACCTCTCCGTGTTCTAATACACATATCTTATCTCTTAAGGCGAACGTATATTCGTCGTCGTCCCTGTCAGCGGCGTCGCCATCTAGCTGCTTCACCGTAGTTGACTTTCTTTCCTCCTTGTTGGCACTGCTGTTCGTCTTAGCTTCCTTCTTGTCCCGCTTGTCCGAACCGTCGCCATGTTTGGGTGCATTTGGGGAGCATGCTATTAGCACAATTATCGTCCAAAATTGTTCGAGGAGACGCTTTGTGGCGCTGTGATGTACGATGATGACGTCACTGTAAAGGCAGCGTGACGTCATCACTCGCGCTATTTTCGCTATTATTTTCGAGGTGAGGCACGAAATACTATTTTGGCGCTTAAGCTGCGTTCGGGGAGCTTGCTATCGCTGTCGCGCTATTGGCTCCTCGAACAAAGTTCATAGCGTTTGCGTTTATGGTTATAATAGCGTCTCCCCGAATGCACCCTTTGTCTGCTCGATCTCGATATGTTCTGCACATCGCTGCGAAATGACCCTTTTTACAGCATTTCGTACACTCCTTGTTTCTAGCCGGACACTTCTCGTCTGATTGTGCATGTCCTCGATAACCACATCTGTAGCACGTTACTTAATACCACTGAAACTGGAACTGTCTGATTTTCCTCGTGCGTTCTCCCTTTTTGTAATCTCTTGTTGTAATCCGTGCCACTACGTTATTTCCTATAGCCTTTGTCTGAACCGATGCCATCTCGAACGCCTGTGCAATTTCCATCGCCTCTTTTAACTCGATGTCCCCTTTTTCTAATATACGCTTTCTCACTTCCATTGAACGACCTTTCTCAATAATTTGATCGCCTGTGTCCATAGAAGCAAATTTGCAATATTTTGTTTGCTGACGCAACCGTGTTACAAATTAACCGACCGTTTCGTCTTCTTTCTGCGCCATATTTCTAAAAAGGTGTCGCTCGTACGTCGTGTTCAATTTTGGCCTGAAGTAATCCGTTAGCACTTTCTTAATCTTTTCGTATGGATCCTCGTTTCTTATCACTACGTCGCAGTCTGGAATAGCGTAGAATATGTCTTGTAGATCCATCCCGCCATGATGTAAAAGCATAGCTTTCTTCCTCTGCGTCTCGGTTATATTTTTACTCAGCAGAAAAAGCTCGAAGCCTCTGAGCCATCTCTTCCATCTCGGATGTATGCCGTGTTGATCCTCGGATTAACCCTGCTAAAAATGACCGATTGAATCCGATTAAAAATTTTGAATCCGCATGAATCTGGATTCTTGATCCGGAAATCACGGATTTATAACGATTACACCGACTGAAAACGATTGAAACGGATTGGTATTCAAGGATGTAATTTCAATCGGATTCTATCGATTTGAATTGTTATGATTTTATAACGATTTCACTGATTGAAAACGATTGAAACGGATTGGTATTCAAAGATGTAATTTCAATCGGTTTCTATCGGTTTGAATCGTTACACGCAGAAAATTTTTCTCAAAAATACAAGTATACACGAACAAAGTAAATACCATACTAATCTTGCACGGCTAGGATATCGTCATAATATGCAAAAGATTTCAAGATAGTATAGGAAAATTAGAGAGCAAAGAATAAAAATATGGCTGATGGACAAAAAACGAGACGTCTGTTGCAGTCATGGCAAAAACATAAGTTGCTATTATAGGCTATGGCGGTCAGCTGTCCGCCACGAGCGAACTTGAGAACGCTGTAGAAACCCTGCCGAGCTGCCCTAGATATAGGGGTCGATGTTGAATCTTAATCACGCGAGAATATACCGGCGATGCGCCGCGTAGCGGGCGCGAACCGAACCCTTTCGCCGCGCGAGCCCGCGTTGCCGCTCGCGCCGCGCGCCTTCCGTCGTTAGTATAGGACTTTTTTTACTTTTCTTATATTTCCTTGTTATAATCCGAGAGGTAGCGACACAAAAGTGTCAGCGATTTTTTATTAGTCTTGGAACAAAGTAATTTCTTTTGTTTTAATAGTGTTGTTGATGAAATGCAGAGTCTGGCTGCGCTGTCTCGCTGGAATGGGCGTTGCGGCGCCTTTGATCTTGTCGAAAAAACACTTATGTTGGAAGAATTTGATTAGTGCTGAGCTTTTATATATTTATTGTTTTTTATATAAAAAAATGTTTTAGAAAAGTCTGGCATGCAACTGACACTGGAAAATGAGTCTGGCATCCTCCCAAAGTCGTTGTAAAAAGTCGATTTGTAGAATCATTTGATTAGAGTTGTAACTTGTCAAGATGGTAGTTTAAATATATAGCTGGTAGTTTAAATATATAAAATTATAAAAAAATAAGTCTGGCTACTTGTACTGGCTGGAAAATTGGTCTGGCACCCCCTTTAAAGTCGTCTGCACGAGCGCGCCGGTAGCTCGTTGCCCGCCGTATCTGTAATATTATTAACGCATTATAAAAGGTTGATTCACACTATACGGCACGGACCGTCACGTTCCGGCAACGACACGTACCGGCACCGGCACGACAAATTTTACGTATATTCAGATTGCTTCGGCAATCGACCGTCAGTTTTATAACCGTCATCAGTTTTATAACCACAAAATGGATGGATCATCTAGCGATGATGAATTGGCTCTTCTGGCCTTACTTTTAGACGAAGATGAAGGCAAAGTGAAAAAAATGAAGAAAAAGAATCGAAAATGGGTACATCCTATATTAAAAGAAAGAAAACTTGAAGGAGAGCATTGGACATTATTTCAAAATTTATTAAAATATGAAGACAAATTTTACCAATATTTTAGAATGCCGCAATGCAAGTTTTTTGAATTATTAAAATTAATTGAGCCTGCGATACAAAAAGAAAATACGTCGTTTCGTGAGGCAATTTCACCGACAGAAAGACTTGCAGTTTGTTTAAGGTAAACATTTGTTATTAAATTTACATTTTCTGTGTATAATCTGTTTGTTCACTGAGATGTGGCATTGGAATTGACATATCGTAATATGATGGCGATGGAGCTGGAGCTCTTAAAGATGAAGGAGATGCTGGTATAGTTGACATTGACGGTGACGATGGTGATAATGATATTGATGATAAAGGACGTGATACATTATACGGCCTAGTGTGATATAATTCGATAGAATGTTGACGTTGTATAGGTGCATTAGGAGGTTGCTCTTGCAAAATTTGTTTCATTTCAAGATCAGAGATAATGGAGAATATTTGTGATTTAGCTACATTTTGATAGTAAGGACAAAAACTCTTTACCGTTGCTGCAATACTTGAGAAAAACGTGTCTATTGCATTAGCATCAGATTGTTGAGTCGGTGGAGTTATTTGCGCTTTTGCAGTTTTTTTCTCCAACAAATATTTTATCATCACTGCTGATGCCGTTTCTGGTTGTGTTTGACATTTATTTTCTTTATTCTTAGCTTTAGTGATAATTTTTCTGTTAATTTCTTTTTGTTTTTTCTTTTTCTCATTTTCAGCGTGTAACTCCTTATCCACATTATCATCCTTGTCATCGTCTTTATCGTCGTTTCGATCATCTTTTCTATCATCGTTTCGATCATCTCTTCTATCATCGTTTCTATCATCTTCACTCTCACTGTTTGTATCATGATATTCGTCTTCATTCGGTCTATCTTCATTATTATCATCACTGACATCTTCTAAATTACTGCATGTGTCTCTTTCTTGCATGAATGGTAGTAAGAACGACATTTCATCTTCAAATTTCCATTTTTTTATTTTTGAGGCGGCCTGTCCACTTTTTGTTTCACGTTTTTTTTTTAACGCTCTTCTAAAAGAATCTCGAAGATTCGTCCATGTTTTTTTGCAAACAGTCGCTGGAAAAAAACGAACAATTTGTTTATATTAATATTGTATATTTTATAATTTATAATTTTTTATTTATTATCTTATATTTCGTAGGTTCTTAGCTACTGGTGATTCGTATATAACAATAGCTACCAGTTATAGACTCGGACATTCAACGGTGCAATCGATTGTTATTCAAGTATGCGAAGCAATAATAGAGAATTTGATGCCACTAACAATGCCAAAGCCTACAGTGGATACATGGAAAAAAATTGCCGAAGAATTTTGGGATATTTGGAATTTTCCAAATTGTTTAGGCGCTCTTGATGGAAAACATGTGACCATTCAAGCTCCCGCAAATAGTGGATCTCAGTTTTTTAATTATAAGAAAACGTTTTCCATTGTTCTCTTAGCATTAGTTGATGCACATTACAAATTTATCGCGGTAGACATAGGCGGATATGGTAAGAATAGCGATGGAGGGCTATTTGCCAATTCTAATTTGGGCAAAAATCTCGAAAAAAATAAATTGAATATCCCGAAAGATAATGCGCTTCCTAATACGCAGAATGTTATGCCTTATGCCATAGTTGGCGATGAGGCATTTCCGTTAAAAAAATATTTATTAAGACCATATCCTGGTTCTCAAATTCAAGAAGATAGATCAAAAAGAATATTTAACTACCGTCTCTCACGCGCACGAAGAGTGTCGGAAAATGCATTTGGAATATTGGGTCAAAAATTTCAGCTTTACAATCGAAGACTAAAGTTAAAACCAGAAAATGCAGATAAAATTATTTTAACTACGTGCATTTTGCACAATTATATCCGAGACTATAATATTAATATTATACAACAAGAAGACCATGCGCATAGAACTGACACTGTGGGTTTACAAAATTTACCACGACAAGGAGGAAGTGCAACAAATACTGCATTTACTGTTCGTGATGCATTCAAGGATTTTTTTATGACAAAAAATGGCCGTGTTGAATGGCAAGACACGATAAATTAAAAAATATTTTATAAAAACTATTTTATTAGTACAATAGAATAAATTATATTCATCTTACCTGGCTGGTTCATTTCTTTCGCAATTCTTCTCCAAGCATTTTCTTTAAATGTATTATCACTATATTTTGAATGGCTCATTATATATAATGGCTCACAAGATTTAACCATTTCAATTAATTTTTCCTGGTCCATCTTGTTAATTGCGTCCGTTCTTCACCGTTCACGGAAAGAATTTTGGGGCGGTTGCTGGCGCGGCCACGTGTGGGTTTCGCGTTCACGATTCGAAACAAATGCTCTCTTTTTTTGGGACAGTCGCTCTCCCAAACTGCAACGACTGCGATCTGAAAACGTTGGTAATCCAGATACTTTTTCGCGAAAGTATCTGCATTACCAACGCTTTCGGATCGCGGTCGTCGCAGTTTGGGAGAGCGGCTGTCCCAAGGAGGGAGAGCATGTGTTTCGAATCGTGAGCGCGAGGCTCGCGTGCGGTTTGCGCTGCGGCGCGGCGGTCGCAGTTGCGTCGGCGGCTGAGGGTTTTTTCCGTGTTAAGTTGATTCACACTATACGGCACGGACCGTCACGTTCCGACACGGACCATCAAAACATTCTTTGCGATAATGTCTGTCAATGTCGGTACGTTCCGTTGTCGGAACGTGCAGGTCGGTGCCGGTTAGTGTGGACAGTCTCGTTAAAATGCATTGTATAATGTTTTGTCGTGCCGGTGCCGGTACGTGTCGTTGTCGGAACGTGACGGTCCGTGCCGTATAGTGTGAATCAACCTCTCATTGAAAAAGATTTTACTTGTCCCAAAGGAGAAACGTAAACGATTTCGTGCTTATTGGTAGTGGAATGATGTGTAATTAATTATGTAATAATCAGAAATAAAGTAATTTAAAAATAAAACTATATTTTAAAGCTGTCAACATTATGAAAGTATACGCTTATAAAAAATTAATTAACTTTATTTATTAAAATTATTAATTTATTTATCTGGATAATCTGTAATCAAACTTTCAATTTCTGATAAACTTTCATTTTCATCATCGGTGAGCTCGGTATTGTCGGTATCGTCATCGGATTCTTGTTCGATTTCCTTTGATTGAGTACGTTCATGATCTGAAAATGATTCAAAGTTGAATTTATTATTAAAATTACACGATTTTAATAAGCTGCGATAAAAACAAAACTTTTACGAACTAAACTAATTAACTCGTTTTATTTGCAAAAAAATAATTATTATCTTAAACTCATATTTCTAAAGTCAT